ATCGGCAAGTCTGTGTTGAGCGGGGCACTCAACTATGCACAATTTGCCGTGGTCGACGAGGTGGCTCTGCAGCTTGGTGTCCACCGAGACCACTCCTTCATTTCGGCTGAGCTCGAGATGATGCAAGGTTTCTTGATGGCTGCACATGATGAGCGGGACGACAACAAGGTGGTGAAGATCTGGGTGAAGCAAGTCCGCGATGTGTCCTATGCTGTCGAGGACTGCCTCCTCGATTTTGCTGTCCGTCTTGAGAAGCAATCTTGGTGGTGTCTCTCTCGCAAGGTACTAGCCCGACGCTATGTGGCGAAGCAGATAAAGGACCTCAGAGCTGAGGTGGAGGAAGTCAGCCAGAGGAACCAACGGTACCACCTCATCAAGGGCTCTAGCTCCAAGCCGACCTCCGCTGTTGGGCAGCCTATCATGTCCAGTGCGACGATGTCTGCAGCCGATGATGCAAGGCTGAAGCGGCAGAAAGCAAAAATGGATCTTGTCAAGTTGATCAATTGCAAGGATGATGCACTTCGAGTGATAGCGTTGTGGGGTACAAGTAGCAGTGATCTGCAGGAGATGTACATCATCAAAAGTGCCTATGAAGATCTCATCATACAGAAGAATTTTGATTGCTGTGCTTTGATCAGATTAACATGTCCTTTCGATCAGAAAGAATTCATTCGAAGCATTGTTCGACAAATCTATGTTAATTCTTTTCAAGAGACAGAAGAAGAAGAGAGCACAACTATTGGGGCCCAAGTTCTGAAGATGATGGTGACGACGAAAGAAGATAGTTTGACTTATGAGTTCAAGAGATATTTGAATGACAAGAGCTACCTAATTGTACTCAATGACATACTCACCATTGAAGAGTGGGATTTCATTAAAACATATTTCCCAAACAACAAGAAAGGAAGTCGAATCATAGTATCCATGGAGCAAGTTGAAGTTGCAAGCTTATGCATAGGAGCAGAGGATGAAGCTCTTGTGCGTAGGAAGTTATTTGTTGATCGGTCTCTTTATGCTTTCTACAGTAAGGTGATTTTTGAAGTTCTTAAAATTGTCTAATTAATTCTGCACTTTTGTTATTTTGATCATTGTCTCAACTAATAGTTAACATAAATAACTAGACTTGGACCTGTGTTGTCATGAAAGTTTTAGGTTAATCACCATTCCCTTTATGCATTTCACTTACATAGTTTAATTAAATAATAATGTATTAAGGCCTATGTGCAAAATTGACCCCATTTGCTGTTTCTACACCCCCTCCCTTCCCCATCATCCGGTTGCTTGTCCTCTGCAAATAAGTCTAGTGGTTAAAACGTCATACTCCATTTGTTAGCTCAAGTCCTCAACTCTTGCATGGAGTTATTTGGCTTCCTATACTCAACTAGCATTCACTGGTCAGCGCATACTTCCATTAATTATATTCTCTCTTATCTTCTTCGGACACCAAACGAAAGCAAGCAAAGTATGGAGCCAAACCTCCCCAAAAAGTTTCTGACATATATTGTGACTGACAAATAACAAATGGTCAAAAAAATTAAATTTAGCAAACGGATCATTATATACCATTATCACCCTCTAAGTTGTTTTATGATTTTTGGAAAGATTCCAACCACTGGAAATCTTAACAGTGTCGGTGATGGAAAATCTTAGTACATGTTTTATGTGTAAACTTGTCCTATTTTCCGTAATATTGTTGCTCGATATTTTGCATGTTCAAGCATTAGTTGTGTGTTTGTGCTTAGGTATATCAGGAGGGAAGGAATTCAGCAGAAAAAGGATCCATCTCACACGTAGTCTGTACTGGTGTTAACAACTCTGCACACAAGAACATCCTCACTCGCACGGAGACAATTGCTACTCTAGAGGAATCTCATCTCATCGGAAGAGGGAATGAAAAAGAGGAAATCATCAAACTAATGTCAAGTAAAGATATCCAGCGATTTCACGTGATCTCCTTATGGGGCATGGGTGGCATTGGGAAAACAACACTAGTGAGAGAGATCTATCAAAGCCAAGAGATTAGTAGCATGTTTGATAAGCGTGCTTGTGTCACAGTCATGCGCCTTTCAACTTAGAAGCACTCCTTGAGAGCTTAATTATGCAATTCAGAGATAAGAATGAAGATAAAAATGAGATAGATTTAAGGAGATGTTTAGAAGGAAAGAAATATTTTCTTGTTCTTGATGATCTGTGGTCCATACTAGAGTGGGATGCTATAAAAGACTATTTGCCAGAAACTGCAGCAAGCTGCATAATAGTCACCACAAGGCAAGAGAATATTGCCAAGCACTCCTCAAAGGATGAAAGAAACATATACAAGCTCAACTATCTGGGCCCTGACGACGCATGTGCCCTCTTCACCAAAAAGGTACAAATGAAGCAGTGTCGTACTCAACGCCTCTACCCCTTATTTCTATTACAGTTATGTAATAAATTTTGCCAATTTGTTTTTTTAAGGGCCAATTTGTTTATTTCAGTGAATGCTAAACTGCTTTAAACTTCACAAACAATATCTTTATGTCCACTAGAAAATTGGAATTGGCATTCGTTAGAAATCTTATGCAATAGCTAGAACTAGAATAATACATATTAATACAAAAGGATTTGGTATACATGAACTATGAATACAATAAGTTGGAGACATGATAATTTGTGCAGTTATAGTTAGGTCCAACCACTTTATTTGTAGATTTTGTAGCTTTCAAAGTGAAGTAGGATATCCCTGTTTCGCTAGCGAACAACAATCTAGTCAGACACTAGAGGTACAAATAAAGGTTCATCCTTTTTCTTGTGGATACCGTCTCAACATTTTCATCTACTCGGATCTACCGCAATAAAACACATTCTTCAGTAATCATGGAAGAATATTTGATCTGCCTGTAAGAATCTTTAGTCAGTGTCTCATTGGCTGTATTTGGCTCAGTCCTCTTCAAACCAAGTCATTCTCTAAATCCAGATTTGAATTTAAAATAGTTCAAGGTTTTTTCTTTTTCTCGCATTGGGAGTTTAAAGAAAATCCGTAAATAGTATATATGTTATAATAAACTATATTGTATTTATAAACTTACACAAAAGGAAACCATACATCTTTAAAGTGTACTCCCTCCGTTCCAAAATACAAGTCTTTTTAGAGATTCCAATATGAACTACATACAGAGCAAAATGAGTGAATCTACACTCTAAAATATGTCTATATGCATCCGTATATAGTTCATATTGAAATCTCTAGAAAGACTTATATTTAGGAATGGAGGGAGTAATTTGTAGCATCATGATATTTTCATTTCTTGAAATCGAGTACATTTCCATATCTCCTGCCATGCTAACAATACATGAATTGAAAGAATCTTTAACCGAACTACGTTTTTACTCAACAGAGAAACAGAGGTCCTACGGTATGATTATTTATAATGTAACAACATTTTGCTTGTAGCATGGCAACACTGCTATTAACTTCTATCAAACAACATATATTCCTATTTTACTACAAGAGTGTTGATGGAACAGAATATCTTATGAATATATAATGAGATAATTTATTTGTTTGGACGTAGGAATTATAGTAACCAGGTAATACGTCTTATTAGATGGAAAAAAAATCTTGTCTCTGAAACTCATGAATGGCTGGCGAGGTCAAATATATCATCCAAAACATTGGCATGCTTCGGCATGCATACATATGTGGGATAATTTTTCTCGTACTTTGTAGAAATGAAAATGTTTTATACGAAGCTCCTTTGAAGTTCAAGCACTGTAGACGTACCTTGAAGAAAGCTAAGGCAGGTTTTGCATCCTGCAAATGCAGTTGACAAATATAGAGAGAATACAGCAGGCCATATCAGTCGTTACATTTAGTTTCTCTCAAATATATTACATTTATTTTAACATTCAGAATTTTTATTTTCAAGGATATTTTGGTTTGTTCAAAGAAAAAAATAGGAGTTTTCGATGGTTTTACTTCTTTTCTAAAGATAGTAGCCATGTTGTCTGGCTTTATATTAACGAAAGCCCCAATGACAGAGTAGGATTGCATGGAGTAAATCACCATTGCACCACGGTACGTTGCTAGGTGGGAGGGAAATATTTTTAGGAACAACAATGATGATATACTACATGAAAAAGATGGCTGACGGAGAAACCTATTAACTAACAAAAAGTAGCAGTGTCTAACTTCTACATCTATATATTACATACTCCCATATTAACTAACAAAAAGATGGCTGGCGGAGTAACATTGTAGGGTAAACAATGCGTTAGACAATCACAGTAGTGCTCATATGATTTCTTGTAGTGCTTTCAGGTATTTAGGGAGACCGCAAATTTGGATGAGCAATATCCAGAGTTGGTTGAACAAGCAAAACTGATATTGAAGAAGTGTAGAGGACTTCCCCTTGCAATAGTCACCATAGGTGGCTTCTTGGCAAGCCAACCAAAAACTGCTTTTGAATGGAGAAAGTTGAATGAGCATATCAGTGCTGAGTTGGAGATGAATCCGGAACTTGAGACTATAAAAGCAGTCCTTATGAAAAGCTATGATGGTTTACCCTATTACCTCAAGGCTTGTTTCTTGTATCTGGCCATCTTTCCTGAAGATCAGCAGATTGCACGGCGACGCTTAGTGCGTCGATGGATTGCAGAGGGTTACTCAAGTGAGGTGCATGGCAAGTCAGTCTAGGAAGTATTGGACTGTTACTTCATGGAACTTATAAGCAGGAGCATGATCCTGCCATCTCAACAGTCAATTCATAGTAAGAAAGGAATTGACTCCTGCCATGTCCATGACCTCGTTCGTGAAATTGCCATCTCAAAGTATGGAGGAAAATCTTGTTTTCACATTGGAGGAAGGGTGCAGCTTAAATAACCAAGGTACAGTGCATCATCTTGCTGTAAGCAGTGATTGGAAGGGGGATCAAAGTGAGTTCGAGAATATAGTAGACTTGTCCCATGTATGATCACTGACAGTGTTTGGAAATTGGAGGCCGTTTTACATTTCTGATAAGATGAGATTGCTAAGAGTTTTGGATTTAGGAGGCGAGTGGGATCTGCTTGATCATCATTTTGAGCATATTGGGAAGCTTGCACATCTTATATATCTTTCTCTGAGGGGTCATGCTCAAGTATTTCACCTGCCAAATTCATTGGGGAACCTGAGACTGCTCCACACATTAGATATTTCAGGTACAAGCATAATTAAGCTGCCTAGGACCATCATCAAGCTTGTGAAGATGCAACGCATTCTTGCTAGTGAAGTAGGAGAAAGATATTGGCGATTATATAAAGATGCAGATGGGCAGTCACTAATGAGTTTGCCTATATATTCAGTAGGTTGTTGTGTGTCATGTTGTGCACCTAATCATCTTGGAAACAAACTCAATCTTGATGATGCTGCACAAATTAACAGGCGTAATGTATGCACTGCATTCTGTTGCAGCATATTACCTTATTATGCAGCTGGAGGACGAAGTCCAGGTGGTGTTGAAGTGCCAAGAGGGATTTGGAAACTGAAGGTCCTGCACACACTTCGTACCATGGACATATCAGAGGGGAAGACTGTTGTACAAGATATAAAAAAGCTCACCCGGTTGCGCAAGTTAGGATTGACAGGCATCAACAAGAGAAACGGTCAGGAGTTGTGTTCAGCAATTGCTCATCTCAGCAGCCTGGAGTCATTGTCACTGCATTCAAACGGGGAGCCAGGTTTATCAGGCTGCTTGGACGGCATGTCCTTACCTCCAGAAAACCTGCAGAGCCTCAAGTTGAGAGGCATCTTGGTTAAACTGCCGGCGTGGATCAAGGGCCTAAAAAATCTCGTGAAGCTGAAGCTATGGAGGTCGAGGATATCGGGGCATGATGCAGCGATACAAGTCCTTGGGAATCTACCAAACCTGGCCACCCTACGGCTATTGTATGACTCGTTTATTGGTGAAGAGGTCCGTTTCAGTTTCTGTTGGGAGGCATTCCCGAGCCTGAAGGCGCTGGAGCTGAATGGCATAAGTAGCCTCAAGTCGGTGGGATTTGAAGAAGGAGCAGCCCCTAAGCTTGAGTTGGTGCAGTATTCACGTGGGATGGGAAGTCCCAGTGTTGGGTTGTTCCCTGGGTTACGGTATATGCCAAGTCTCAAGGAATTTATGCTCATAGGTCGGACTGGTATGATACCGAGTTGGTGGAGGACCTGCAAGGCCAGCTAGCAGAGAATCAAAACAGGCCCGTTCTGAAGAGCTGGTAGGGACTAGCTTGTATTCATTTGTTTTTGCGGGGAAGGACTAGCTGTATCTTTTGATCTGAGTTCATGAATTAAGACCGCCTGGAAGTTGTATCGGCAACTGCATATGTAACCTTTGTGTAGGCACCGGCTGTCATTTTGTTCATCCATCGTGACTATTGTGATTTTGGTATTTGTTTGTGTGGGCACAGCACAGTTCACTCAATAATTTTTTTGATTCGACTGCACCATTAGCCATGGGAGTTGGGAGAACCTAGCTAGCTAGAGGGAATCGGAGAGAAGGATCATGCATTGTATCCACTCTGCTTTGAGGTTGTTTGAAGACCGGAGTGCCTCGCGTTATATATGTGTAAAATCGGTGGCTGCTGGCGTTTCCCCACTCTCTGTTTTGCTGCCTGTAACAATGTGTTTCTAAGCTTGGAGTGCCTTTCTGTTATCATCATGTTGCGGTTGTGGGCCGTGGCTGAGCTTATATATTGTCCTCATCGGGGCCCTAACGGATGATGTTAATTAACCGTGGAACTGGTTTCATTTCAATGGAAAAATGGAACGGGGCACAATTCCTCTATTATTCTACTCTAAAAGGAAAAGAGTACTAACTACTAGTGTTTCCTCACTTCCATGTACCTGCATTCAATTCATTAGCAAGCTATGCCATGCCCGTGATGGATTTGGAACACTCTTTGAGTGGCCCGGATAGATGATGTCTCTTCTAGCTGTGACCTTCATACATCTCTCCTTGTGTATATATTGTTTCGGCATGTACAGAACCTCGTCCAGTAGTACCCACACATGTTTGTGTGCTATACATGTATTCATTGTCAGTATATGCGCTGCAAGCTAAATGGCGTGTCGAGGGAAAGGGAAAATTGAACAATATGCTTAAACAATGTTGGCAGAATAAAGAAGAGGAGCGACAGCAAACTATGTTCATTCAGATCGTGCGGCTCCAGCTACAGCAATTACAACTCAAGCGTACAATGCCTGTGAGTAGCAGCCTATTCAGTGGTGGTACGAACAGCAAGCAGAGCAAGTAAAGCCAACCACATAAATAGGCCATTCATCTAATGGGTCTCATTGCATTCAAGCTCATCCGCTGCTTCTCTCTAGACTCTAGTACTATTAATTTGCCAGAAAGCGTATGGCAACGCACAGTTTGTTTTCTCTGCTACTCCGTCGACTGCGCCACTGGTTTACTGTAAAAACACAAGTGTTATATACGTACCTGACTCTGGGCATTTATTTAGGCTTCCCTACTACTCTATGACTCTTTTTTCTCATTGGACACTCCAATCATGGACGGGGTTGCTCATCTGCACCCATCAGATTTGCACGGCGGTAGAGAGCAGTACTGATGACTAGAGTAGTACCTAGTAATTCAGTAGTAAACCTTAAATAAATAGTTCTTCAATGTAGGACAACGCACAAAGAATCGATGTAGTGAAATTATGAGTTGAATTAGTATTGTTCAATTCTCAATTTCTCATACTTGTACTTCAATTTTAACTAGCACATATTGCCCGTGCGTTGCAATGGGGGAAGCAAATCCTCGCATGGTCCAAGCAACCCACCCGTGTTATCACACTCCTTGCAACCCGTGGTCACATTGTCCACCTTCCACGACGAACATGAATCACAGGCGATGAGTTTGGCCATCACATTCTAGCAAGCTGGTTCCGCAAACTCCTCCTGTTTGTCACAACAAAATAAATTATCCTCACACTCCTAAAAGAATAGAAGACATCTAAACCGGTAAATATCTACCTGAAGAATTGTTACAATGAACACATCTAAACCGGTAAATATCTTATGGGATGCCTGCTCGGAAGAAATCGATGATGTCCCAGGTACACATTCTTCTTACAATTATTCAAATATATATTGTCGGTATCATCTAAATAGTGCGTGCATGTGCGGTATCCCTTGTTTCTCTATCCTGAAAGGTTACTAAGAGCAAGCCACTCATTGATGGTCACAAACAACAATGCATGTAGGCCAAATTCCTCATGTTCGTGCTCATCCCACGCACGTATACCTTTTTCATTCCACAACTGTAAGAGTTCTTCAACTAATGGCCTTAGGTACACATCAGTGTCGTTGCCGGTTTGTTTAGGGCCTTGGATGAGCACTGGCATCATAATAAACTTTCGTTTCATGCACAACCAAGGAGGAAGGTTATACGTACATAGAGTCACAGGCCAGGTGCTATGATTGCTGCTCTGCTCCCCAAAAGGATTAATGTCATCTGCGCTTAGACCAAACCACACATTCCTTGCATCACCTGCGAAGTCCTCCCAGTATTTTCTCTCGATTTTTCTCCACTGCGACCCGTCAGCGGGTACTCTCAACTTCCCCTCTTTCTTACGGTCTTCTCTGTGCCATCACATCAACTTGGCATGCTCTTCGTTTTGGAACAAACTTTTCAACCGTGGTATTATAGGAACATATCACATCACCTTGGCAGTAATCTTCTTCCTGGGGCGCTCGCCCTCGACATCACCAGGGTTATCACGGATGATCTTATAGCGCAATGCACCACATACCGGGCACACATTCAAATCCTTGTACTCACTGCGGTAGAGGATGCAGTCATTAGGGCATGCTTGTATCTTCTGCACCTCTAATCCTAGAGGGCAGACAGCCTTCTTTGCTTCATACGCACTCTCGGGTAATTCGTTGTCCTTTGGAAGCATCTTCTTTAACATTATCAGCAACTTTCGAAATCCCTTGTCAGATACACCATTCTCTGCCTTCCATTGCAGCAATTCCAGTGTGGTGCCCGATTTTTTCTTGTCGGCTTTGCAATTTGGGTACAAAAGTTTCTTGTGGTCCTCTAACGTTAACATGTGCTGCAACTTCAGCCTCTCCTTCTCACTTGCGCAGTTTCTCTTTGCATCGGCAATGTCCCGACCAAGATCATCAGCGGGCTCATCTGATGCCTCTTCTTCAGCTTCTTCCTGCATTGCCGACTTAGCTTCTTCCCGCATTGCCGACTCAGCTTCTTCCCCCATTGTTGTACCATCATATTCAGGGAACCCATGGCCAGGATAGCTGTCGTCGTCCTCTTCTTCTTCATTGTCTTTCATCATAACCCCTCTTTCTCTGTGCTTGGTCCAAACATTATAGTGGGACATGAAATCGGACTCAAATAGGTGGACGTGAATGATTTTTGACTTAGAGTAATTCCGATCATTCTTACAGCCAGCACATGGACAAGACATAAAACCATCCGCCCGCTTGTTTACCTCAGCCGCAAGCAGAAAAGTACGTACACCATTAACGAACTGGGGAGAGCATCGGTCATCGTACATCCATTACCGGCTCATCTTCATTACATAGCACCGAAAATACTAAATTAATACAAGTTCATACATAAAGTTCATACATAAAGTTCCATACACACTTATTCTCATAAAACAACATACAAACTCTCTAGCTAAAGCATTTAAAAGTCTATGGAAGAAAATCTTGTTTTCACATTGGAGGAAGGGTGCAGCTTGAACAACCATGGCACGGTGCGCCATCTTGCTATAAGTAGCAATTGGAATGGTGATCAATTTGAGTTTGAGAATATAGTAGACTTGTCTTGTGTGCGATCTTTAATAGTGTTTGGAAATTGGAGGCCATTTTATATTTTGGATGAGATGAGGTTGCTACGAGTGCTAGATTTGGAAGGCAATTGGGATCTATTTTATCATCACCTTTAGCACATTGGGAAGCTTGTACACCTTAGATGTCTTTCTCTAAGGGGACATGCTGATATATTTCACCTGCCAAATTCATTCGGGAATCTGAGACAACTCGAGACACTAGATATTTCAGATACAAGCATAACAAAGCTACCAAGATCCATCATCAAGCTTGTGAAGATGCAACGCATTCTTGCTAGTGTCAGAAGAACGAGTCATAATAGTTTTTATGATGTAGATATGCCGTTACTAATCAGTTTGCCGTTACATTCATCACTTTGCTGTCGGGCATGTTGTGCGCCTAACTTCCTGCTAGAGGATCTTGTCCTCGATGAAGGTGCACAACTTAACAGGCGTGATATATGCACTATGTTCTGCTGCAACATATTACCTTATCATGCGGCAAGACGAAGTGTAAGTGGTGTTGAAGTGCCAAGAGAGATTTGGAAGCTGAAAGCCTTGCACACACTGCGTACTGTGGACGTATCAGTGGGGAAGGCTGTTCTACAATCTATAAAAAGGTTGACCCGGTTGCGCAAGCTAGGAGTGAAAGGCATCAACAAGAGAAACGGTCAAGAGTTGTGTTCAGCAATTGCTCATCTCAGGAGCCTGGAGTCATTGTCACTGCACTCACATGGAGAGACAGGTTTATCAGGCTGCTTGGATGGCCTGTCTTCACCTCCAGAAAACCTGCAGAGCCTCGAGTTGGGAGGCAACCTGGTTAAGCTGCCGGAGTGGATCCAGGGCCTAAAAAATCTCGTGAAGCTAAAGCTATGGAGGTCGAGGATATCGGAGCATGATGCGGCCATACAAGTCCTCGGGAATCTACCAAACCTGGCTACCCTACGTCTATTGGAGGAGTCGTTCGTTGGTGAAGAGGTGTGTTTCAGTTTCCACCGGGAGGCATTCTTGAGCCTGAAGGTGCTGCAGCTTGAGTGGGTAAGAATCACGTCTGTGAGATTTGAAGAAGGAGCATCCCCAAAGCTTGAGTTGCTGCAGTATACGTGTTGGAACAGTAACTTGAGGGTTGGAATTTTCTCTGGGTTAGCATATCTAACAAGTCTTAAGGAATTTATGCTGCGTAGAGATAACCTGAGCAAGACTGAGTTCGTGGAGCACCTGCGATGCCAGCTCACAGAGAATCAAAACGGGCCCGTTTTGAAGTGTTTGTAGTAGCTAGCTAGCTGTATTCAACTCGGCTTTCACCTATCGTAATAATATTCATGTATGTATTATTAGGTCCCTGTCTTCTTTGGATTGAGTTGATGATGTAAGCTGTACTCCCTTTATGTGTGTGTGGCTGTGTGCACGGTGCTACGATAGCAAATGGCATCTGTCCTTTTGTTCATCTGTCACGACTCTTTGATTTCTATGTCTGTTTGTGTGAGCACGGTTGGGTCAATAATAAATTTTCGTGTAATGTTTTAGGAAACCGAGCAGAGCAGGTGCTGGCAAACTGTCTCCCATCGCTACATTGATCAACAACAGGATTCGATCGATTGCACTACTGGTGTGGTGTGGGAATTGGACATGATCATGTGTCTGTCTGTCCACTCTGATTTCAAGGTTGGCACGCTCGGCATTTACTGCAGCATCAGCAGGACACCGGGAGGAGGTGTGGAAGGGAGAGATGTTCCTATTGATAGCTAGCTTAGCTATGTGCATGTATGAGTATGACTTGACTGACCCAAAGTAAAAGTGCCACATCCAACCAAGCCCAAGCCCAAGAGCTCTGCCCTGCCTACCATTCCTCGGTTTCCTTGTATTTTCTGCCTAAATTCGGCAGAAAACCCAACAACCTTTCAGATTGACTAGCACTTGAGCTGGATCGATTGCTCTACAGGTGTTTGATTTTCTTTCTTTCGGTGTAGCAGCAACCACGTTACTAGTTACAACTTACAACTACACCAGATGTTGTATCTAGACAAGTACTACCTTCATCCTGGTTTATTGGTCCTCATTGTAATCCGTGCTAAATTTTGACCATAAATTTAACTAACAAAATGTTCATGCATGTCACAAAATATTATATCGTTGAAAACTATGTTCAAATACGAATCCAACAATATATTTTTTGTTGACATGCACTAACATTTTGTCAGTTAAATATTTGTTCAAAATTTAGCACAAATTATATGAGAGACTAATAAACCAAGACAGAGGTAATTCCAATTTACTCGTCGTGGTGGTTAGTTCAAATCATGGTAACAGCACGCCACCAAAGAATCAAACATAATTCTTGTTCACAACTACTGGATATCACCGAATGGCTCTGCGGTAGCAGCAGTCAGACCACCTAGGCGCACATACATGCCTGAGTGGATTTTTCACTCTTCTTTTTCGTTTCACGTGCCATAAATATAAATTAAAAATGCATTGTTTCGCAATTAATTGCAGCTTTTTGACATGTTCACAGTCCAAATTTGTAAACATAGATAGATGTTTCATTTACCATCTGATGATTAAACATAGAAATCCTCGTTTCTAAGATTCTGTTATTAACCATGCGATAGAAATCCAACGGCTCCACAATGCCGTGTTCCTGTGCCAAAAAAAGGGGAAAAGATTCTCGAGATACAACTGGCTGAAACTGAACCACACCGGCGGGCCGAGGCGCTCCACGGCGGCGACGGCGTGCACCGCCGCATACGGCCCCATCACCCTCCAATCCGGCCGCGTACTCCCGCCACTGCTTCTTCGACCACCTCGGACTCCTCCGGCAGGCATCCACCGCGGGATCGATCTCCTCCTCCGCCGTGGCGACAACGCCGATGCGTTTCTCCGTGTCGCGTGTGGATGGGCGGGCCGGAGGATGTGAAGGCGTTTCGACGGGCCGTTCAGTCGGAGCGGCCCCAGCCAGGGCTGACGGGCTCGCGGGTGTTCCCTCCTCTCCCGGCTGCTCCGCGTCAGCAACTCCCCGAACTCCTGCAGATTGGTTGGTTGACGGGCTCGCGGGTAACCGTCGCTAATTCCGCCCAATTAATTGCTAAACTCTAGTAGGAGTATTTGCTTACAGCATTGTACAGCTAGATTATGCCGAATAGATAGATAAAACAGATTCATGGTATGTTTTGGTTTTAACCGACAGTTAAACCAAGCAGAGCGCAAATTTTGTACAGTCTGATTTTGTTGGTGTCTTGGACCCTCCGTTGATCAGAAATCACCAGAATTTTGAGACATATATACCTATCTTGCATACTCCTACATAGGGAGGGATAAGTGCCAGGCAATGCATTTCATTTGTTCGCGCAGTTTAGAATCTCCAACCTCATGTGTCTGTCCGTGTTGCTTTCCTCCATTCTGTCACAAATCAGACAGCAAGGAACGAATCGATCCTTTTCCTCGCGCAAAGAAGGAGAGGCAATGCAGCATCACGCGTGTTCCGCGGCAGCAAGAAAAAGAAGCTTCTTTTCGTGCTTTGCTCTGCACGCCTGTCTACGCTTTGCTTGGGAGGATGGAGGATGGACGCTGCGGCAAGTAAAGAATATGTTCTTCCCCAGTGTCTTTGCTCCATTGCCCAATTATATTTCCCTATGTCTGCTTCTATACCCTGGCTGGTATTTGACGCAGCGAACCTGGTGACTACACCCAATTCGTGCTGGTAATTTTATTTCATTTCTGTTTTTCTTGTCTGCTTTGGTGAATCTCTGAATCATGTGCGTTCAATCTTTATTTAGCACTTGGACACTTGCTAGTTAAATTATAATATACTCTAAATTCTTCTTCTTGTTTGCATGCAATGCAGATCTTTCAACTGGGAGAGCACTGCTGCTGTTGAGGTTGATCGGTCTTGATCGCCGTGGACAAGACCAGGTTTGCTGTGTTTCCATTTTTGTCTTTTATTATTAGCTACAGCCTGGCCGTTGCTAACACTCAGCATTGCTTAAACCCAGAAAGACCCCGCCCGCAAATGGAGGCGACCGCACTGAGTGTTGGCAAGTCCGTTTTGAGCGGGGCGCTTGGCTATGCCCAATCAGCTGTGGCCGAGGAGGTGGCTCTGCAGCTTGGCGTCCAGCGTGACCACTCCTTCATTACAGACGAGCTCGAGATGATGCAAGGTTTCCTGATGGCCGCACATGACGAGCGGGATGACAACCAGGTGGCGAAGATCTGGGTGAAGCAAGTCCGCGATGTGTCCTATGCTGTCGAGGACTGTCTCCTGGATTTTGCTGTCCGTCTTGAGAAGCAATCTTGGTGGCGCATCCCTCGCACGCTGCTAGACCGACATCGTGTGGCGAATCAGATGAAGGAGCTCAGAGCCAAGGTGGAGGATGTCAGCCAGAGGAACATACGCTACCGCCTCATCAAGCGCTCTGGTTCCATGCCTACCTCTGACGTTGGGCAGCCTATCATCTCCAGTGCGACGATGTCCGCTGCCAATGATGCAATGATGTGGCTACCTAAAGCTAAAAGGGATCTTGTCGAGTTGATCAATTGCAAGGATGATGCACTTCGAGTGATAGCATTGTGGGGCACAAGTAGTAGTGAGCTGGGGGAGGTGTCCATCATCAAAAGTGCCTATGAAGATCCCATGATACACAAGAATTTCGATTGTTGTGCTTGGATCACATTGATGAATCCTTTCAGTCAGATAGATTTCATTCGAAGCATTCTCAGGCAATTATATGTTACTTCTCTTCAAGAGACAAGATTAGAAGGAAAAACAGCTATTGGGACCCATGTTTTGAAGATGATGGCGACGATGAAAGAAGATGGTTTGGCTCATGTGTTCAAGAGATTCTTCATGCAACGGACTGATGAAGATGGCTTGGCTTACGAGTTCAAAAGATATTTGAATGACAAGAGTTACCTAATTGTACTCAATGACATACACACCATTGAAGAGTGGGATTGCATTAAAACTTGTTTCCCGAACAACAAGAAAGGAAGCCGAATCATAGTATCCACTGATCAAGTTGAAGTTGCAAGCTTATGCATAGGAGCAGAGGATGGAACTCTATTGCATAAGAAGTTCCTTCTGGATCAGTCTCTTTACGCTTTCTACAAGAAGGTAATTTTTGAAGTCCTAAAAGTTGTCTAATTAATGCTCCTCTTGTTGTTATTTTTCTTCAGTGTCTCAACTAATATTAGGATAATTAAGTAGACTTGGATTTGTGTTGTCATGAAAGTTTTAGGTTAACTAACTAGCGGGTCCACCTGCACATTTGCGCGGCTAGAGTTTCTTATATACTATTTATTTATGTTAGACAACCATTTGATGGTATTTGAGTATTGGTTTTTCTGCATGGTGAAACCATCACAGTATACCAAATGTTGATTAGTTGCATGCCACTAAAAGTTAGTTCGACAATTATGGGCCTTAGATTATGTTAGGATAATTGCCAACTTGAAACTTAAATATGATATTTCAAAAAGAAAAGCGTGTGTAGTTTTCCTTTTTGTGTTCGTTAGCTTCATGTCATCATCTAATTTTGCTATACAACTTTTTATGTGTCGGTTCAACATACATATTTAGGTATGCAATAATATTTTTAAATCTCAGCCGTAAATATGACAGATCTACGATGTATATTATTTTAGCTTACATGGAAGAACGTGGTGTTTTACTTGCCTTTGTTTCAATTATATAATAGATAAGCATTGTACCCTGAGCATTCCAAAAATTAAATTCCTACGTTTGTCCTAAGTCAAACTTCATTAGTTTGGCTAAGTCTATATAAAATTACAGCAACTTCTATAACACCAAATTTGCTTCATTAGATTCATTATGAAATATTTTTCCTATTATATTGGGTATTGTAGAGCTTTATACTTTTTCCCAGTAGACTTGGTCAAACCTCAAAAGCTTTGACTTAGCACAATACTAGAACTTCAATTATTTTGCAACGGAAGTACATAGTTTAATGAAAAAATTATTATGTATTTCCTGTTTTCTGTGAGAAATAATTTGTAGGATTTATATAAATTTTACTTGTGAAAATTCGCTCACTTGACTAGAGGGACCTTCTTCCCCTCCCGCGACTAGGGTTTCCCCCATCCTCCCCTCCCGCCGCCGCCGGCCCTCCCGCCGCCGCCGGCCCTCGGCCTCGCGCCCCCTTCCGCCCCTCCCCCCCTCCCCCCATCCTGTCCGCCTCG